ATGGTCAATTTCTATCTTCTAAAGAAATAAGAATAAAGGCAGTCCATGAAATATATGAATTTTGCAATACAAATAATCTTGTATTACTTTGGGCATATTTGTGGTGTGCCTGGTACAAACCTTCCAGATGGTGTCTTTGGGCCCGTTCTACACGGGAAACAATACCTCTTGGTAAAACTAATATGATGATCGAGGCCCATTAGAAGGTTTTAAAACACAATTACCTTTATCAGTTTAATCGCCCGAAACTTGATTATCTTACTTGGATTATTTGTACTCGAGTATTGCCTGACCAAATTACCCACCTTCAGCAAATTTCACTTGGCAGAACACCTCCATCATGGTTTGATGACTTTAAGAAGGAATGGAAGAATCTTGCTAACAAATCAATTGACAAAGAGATTAGTGAACGTTATTATATTGATTTGAGTTGCTGGATATGTAGCTGCCCTTATTTTCTTAATAGTCATTTTTTAATTTGCAAGCATTTGATCCATATGGTATTAGAAAAACAAGATGTTTGATTAGTTTATTCTAATTTTAAACGGCGAACTGAATATCCATTTTTAATCTGGGATGGAAGTGAAACTCAAGATGTACCTGAAGCTATCCCAAACTTAATACCATATAATCCATCTTCATTAGAAAATTCTGCCGAAGAAGGTGCTAAGGATATAAACCGGCGTCAAGAAATTGAATCTAAAATAGCTTTATTAAATCGTTTAGTTGGTCATTTAAATACAGAGTTAACAAGCAACAATTTACAACATGTAGAGGCAATTATAAATAACTTAGGTCATGCTTTTACAGTCATTACTGATATAGAAACAGCACAAAACAGGCGACAGCGTATTCCTACTTGGCGGGGATCAAAACCTTGGACTTTATTTTTGTCTTAGATTTTTTTTTTCTTGTACAAATTTGCTTTTAAGTAATACAATACTGTAATACAATGCTGCAATAAATAAATAAGTATACCGACACGTGTCGAAAATAAGGGTCGGATGTCACGTGATCGGAAAATCGATCCTACGCCCTGTCAATCTCTCATTCATATATCAGTAGTAATAGAAAAATTTTTATAAATTTTTCATAACTTTTCTTAAAAATTCTTATATTCTTTTTTAAAATCAAATATAATATGTCTTTTAATTTGGTTTGCTAAAGATGCAATTGCTTTAGATTCTAAATATATAAATATATTTCTAAGACTATTATCTTCAATAATATTAAATAAACAATTATACTTAATAATTTAATATTTAATAAGAGTCGTAAATATTTTTAAATCAAATAGTTTATAAGAACATTGCTGATTTCTTAGCAAATTTATAACAGAGATATTGGGTTTTTTGTTATTTAATTCAGACATCTTTTCTTTATATATAGTGAAATGTCTTTAAAAACTTAATATTGAACCATTAGCACATTTTATTAATTTTTTAGAATAACAAAAACTACACTTTCTAAAAAAACTATTTTTTTCTTTTTTGAAATATTTTTATACAATAATCTAGCATATAAAGAAGATTTGTTGCTAATAACTAATTCTACTTATAATAAGTTATCTGTTTTCAGATTATCAAGTTCATTAATATAAAAATCTTTATAAGAGTTGTTTACTTCTATAAAGAAATTATCTATATAGATATTGTTATCTATAAGGTAAAAGTTATCTATATAGATATTGTTTATACAATTATTAGAATCATTTATACTAAAAAAAACTAGAAAGTAAGAGTATGATGACTTAATGAAGTAGTCAGATTGTCAACCATCCAAGTGGTAGATTGGATGTTCAAATCCTATTAATAGTAAAAATTTAGATAACTACCTATATAATATTCATATTACAGCAACTGTTACTAATAATTAGATTAGGATATTTGTAATGACAGTCACACCAGCATAACTGACAGATTATAAGACATCTGTATAAGTATAGCATTATATAAAGAAATGCAAACTGACAAATTGGGTAGTGCAAACACTAGATAAGTTCTTGTAATCATGTAAATCCATTGAAATTGAGTAACAAGTAGTCTATTTTGGAAAGATCTGAATAGAAAGATAGCTGGATCTTTGACAGCCTTACTGTAAAGGCTAGTCTAGGGAAATAGATACCAAGGTTGTAGTATCTGGTCATAGTAGCTAAACAAATAAGAACCTCTGGGTTGAAAGTCTTAAAGATACTACCAACCAGACTGCTAGAACAAATTGAAGAAAAAGAATATTGGGCTAATCTGATATACTGATGGACTGGTCATAGTCCTATACAGGCTATCTGAATTGGAAGTTTAATAAAAAACAGGTAAAAAGACAGGAGTATACTAAAGTATCAGAGTTATGCTATAAAGTAGATGCTGGGATTTAAGTGAACTCTACAAGAGCATAGCAGTTTAATGATTAAGTCCTAATTGCAAGTATTAGTTCTGTCATAGTAATATTTAGGTCAGCTATAAAAATGGGTACAGAAGACTTTAAAGGGTTTACTTTAAAGATAAAATAGTTCTAAGGTTGAGATGATGATCTGATCATCAGGTATGACTTAGTGAAGTTAACAGATTTGCAAGTTCAGAAAGTTTAAAATAGAATATCCAAACAGGGATATTAGATATAACAATTGGTAAGGAACCTTCAGATGACCTCCTTAAATAGATAATATAAAAAAGTTACACATATAGCCAATTGTATGCTCTTCCCGTAATGGTTTACTGAACTATATTTATTATTGTTAAATAAAGTCAAAAAACTCAAGAGGTTATCTTAATAAAAAAAAAAACTAGAAAATGTATATTTTAAAAGAAAAAAAAAAATTAGAGAAAATTTATATTGTATAAAAATAATAATTTACAAAATTTCAGAGTAGATAACTATACTTATATGTACTATTTTTGGAGTTTTTTTTTTAAAAAAAAAGCAAATTGCTAGTTTGGTAAAAAAAAAAATTTAAATAGCTAATTTAGTTTTTTATCTTCAATATAATTAGTTATAACTTTTATTATATTTTAATTTCACTAATACTATATTACTAAAAATTAAAAAAAAAGTTTTATTGCTCTTAATAATAAGCACTATTAAAATTTTATGATTAAAAGATATATGTCTAATGTGTAAATAATTTTTAAGAAATTTTTAAGTTTTATTATATTGATTACTAACATTCTATTTATTCAATATCAGGTAATTAATATATATAGATTTATATAAGTTAATCAGATATCTGTTATCTAAAACCTAAAATTGGGAAAAAAAAACAGCAAGTCATGTAACTCTTTCCGTAAATCCTTTTTACACAAAAATAACTAAAAATCCATCAGTACTAAAATCGTCAATATCTGGTTATTTTATT